CACACACTCAGCACCCCACGGGCCTGCCAGCCTCTTACCAGTCTCGCATCTGCCCCAAGCGCTTTGCACGGCCACCGCAGACTTGTCGGTGGCGAACCCAGAGGGGGGGAATGAACAACGGCGACGTTTTCAATCTTTAATGACCTCCCCGAGCCTCCCCGCGAACCTTCCTTCTCCGATAACAGTGTCTCCCGTGGCGACCAGAGACGCAGGCTAAGATTACGGGGCAAGTCCAGGGGATGCTTTCAGAAGTGACGGGCAGCGCCCGTTTACGCCTCTCCTGCACGGGTTGCAACTATGCAGCTGGGAATCTTCAGAATGCAGTTGGTGACATAGCAGAGACACTCCGGGAAGGGGGCAGCGTGACCCTCGCGTGGGCCACCTCAGGCCACGCCGCTTCATGCAACTGCGGTCAGAAGTGGGCCTTTGGTTAAGTTCGTCCACCTGCCAGTTGTTTGCTCTCTGACCACAACCCATGGTCAGAGTGAGACCTCTTGAGCTGCCTGCAAGAGGAACGGGGTTTGTGAGTGTGGAATGCATTTGCCTCCTGGCTGTGATCACATAGGAACAAGTGTCGGCAGCGCGTGGGCCAGTTCAGGGACAGGTCCACCAGGAAAGGGTCTTTTTTTAAGCAGAGCCCTGTGAACGGTACAGTCTCAACAGAGGGGCCTCTGCCCTACAGTGGCTGAGCAGAACCCCCTAGAGATCTCTCAAGATTACCAAGATGGGAAATCATTACCCCTCTCCATTCACCTGCAATTGCACGGGGATTGACGAGGGTTGATGTAGCCACTGGTCCATCCCTTGCAAAAGGGCCTGTAGGGCTTGTTTACAAAGCTATTGTACTGTACGCTTGTGAAACGTTGACCACTTATAAACGCCACCTCCAGCTCCTTGAAAGATTCCATCAACAGTGTCTCCGAAAAATTTTATACATCACTTGGGAAGACAGGCGAAGTAATGCCAGTGTACTGGAAGAAGCAAAGATCACCAGTGTTGAAGCAATGATTCTTCAACGTCAACTTCGCTGGACTGGTCATGTTGTGCGGATGCCTTATGATCGTCTTCCAAAGAAACTGCTCTCTTCCGAACTTAGAAATGGAAAGCGTAATGCTGGTGGTCAACAAAAGAGGTTTAAAGACTGTCTCAAGGCAAACAAAAAAATTAGTATAGACTTTTAGAAGACATCTGAAGGCTGCCCCTGTTTAGGGAAGCTTTTAATGTTTGATTTTAATATTTTGTTGGAAGCCGCCCAGAGTGGCTGGGGAAATCCAGCCAGATGGGTGGTGTATGAAGAAGAAGAAGAAGAAGAAGAAGAAGAAGAAGAAGAAGAAGAAGAAGAAGAAGAAGAAGAAGAAGAAGAACTGACAACTGGGAAACACTGGCCTGCAAGTGCTCCAGTTGGAGAACAGCCTTCACCAAAGGTGTCATGGGCTTTGAAGACACTCGAACTCAGGAAGCAAGGGAGAAATGTGCTAAGAGGAAGACACGCTTGGCAAACCCTCACCATGATCTATTCTCACCAGGAACCCTATGTCCCCACTGTAGAAGGATGTGTGGATCCAGAACTGGCCTCCACAGTCACTCACGGACTCACTGCTAAAACCGTGTTCATGGAAGACAACCTTACTGGGCTATGAAGGCTCACCAAAGATGTCAGCAAAGGTGCTGTGATCTTTTTGGATGCAACCTCATTTGTGTTGTGTGGATATGTAGACCTGGGTGGATCACTGGGGGAAGTGAAGGCAGACACACACACCAAAATGACTGAAGAGCACACTTTGCATCTGAGGTCACCACCAAGAAAACTCATTCAAACTACTTCCCCCACACTTGTGGCTCATCCAGACTTCCGCTTGTCCTGGGTTTTCCACAGAGTGATGTTTTCTCTGAATCAGGGCTAGAGAGTGTGCTTTTCCCAGGGGAAGTAGCGGGGCAAAAGGGAAAACCACTCGGACCCTTGCTTTCTAGGCATGCAGCAGTGTGGATGAACCCTAAAGATGCCAGACTGTAGCAAGGGGCACACAGACATTCGGGTGCTTCCCACATGACGTGTCAGCAGGCTACAGGGAGACATGGGTGCAGCATGAGCAGAGAGCATCTCTGCCTGACTCTCCCTCCATCCCAGAACTCTGTCGGAGGCTGCAATGGTTAGCTGAGGGCTGGGCGGGCATGGTTTGGAGAAAATAGCTTCATGGGCTAAATAGGACTCCTTGTTGGCCAAGATTGGCCAGCATGCCAGCAGCTCCCTGCCCTACTGCAACCCCTCCAAGTGCAAGCTGTTCTCACAGAACGCCCCCCCTCTTGCCCCCCTCCATGCTATTCCTCTCATAATACTGATATATTACAGTATTTTAATGTTTTTTGGGAGGCCGCCCAGAGTGGCTGGGGAAGCCCAGCCAGATGGGTGGGAGAATAAATAATAAATTATTTATCATCATCATCATCATCATCATCATCATCATCATTATCATCATACAGGCCCTGCACCCAATGCGAGGCTGTTTTTCCTGTGATTCCTGGGTCACTGGCTGGATGGGGAATTTCCAATAAAGAAGGATCATAGAATCATAGAATCATAGAGTTGGAAGAGACCACAAGGGCCATCGAGTCCAACCCCCTGCCAAGCAGGAAACCCCATCAGAGCACTCCTGACATATGGTTGTCAAGCCTCTGCTTAAAGACCTCCAAAGAAGGAGACTCCACCACACTCCTTGGCAGCAAATTCCACTGTCGAACAGCTCTTACTGTCAGGAAGTTCTTCCTAATGTTTAGGTGGAATCTTCTTTCTTGTAGTTTGGATCCATTGCTCCGTGTCCGCTTCTCTGGAGCAGCAGAAAACAACCTTTCTCCCTCCTCTATGTGACATCCTTTTATATATTTGAACATGGCTATCATATCACCCCTTAACCTCCTCTTCTCCAGGCTAAACATGCCCAGCTCCCTTAACCGTTCCTCATAAGGCATCGAAGAACCAGCTATTGGAGCAACAAGAAAGTGACCTTTTGACTGCATGCTTATCGTACTCCTAAACCATGACCCTTAAAAGCAAACCAGCCAAGGCCCTTCCTGAAACTGGCTGAGCAGCCCATTTGTATTTTGCCAGGGTGGTATTATTTGATTTTGAATTGATTTTAAAATGAATTGATTTTAGAATGCTGTGTTACTTTTATTGTTGTAAGCCACTCTGAGCCCGGCTTCGGCTGTGGAGGGTGGGATATAAATAAAATTTTGTTATTATTTTATTATAGCAGCCGGACTGTGGGGTGCTGGCAGGTTGGGCTTGAAACCCTAACAGAGTCATGAAGCTCACTGGGTGACCGTGGGGCCAGTTGCACTTTCTTTGCCTAACCTACCTCACAAGGTTGTTGTGAAGACAAAATGGAGAGGGGAAGAACTATGCTCTCCACCTTTAGCTCCTTAAAGGAAAAGGGGGGTGTAAATGTGATAATAATGGTGGTGGCAAACGTTAGATTGGTCTACTTCATTTGCAGATCAGGATCTGGGCATCCTCCGCCTAACTAAGGGGCGATGCTGGAACGAAAACAAGCCATGTGTGCCAAAATTAAAGCGTGCAAAGTGACCAGAACGAACATTTCTAGCAGAAGCATCGTTCACTCCTTGTGCAACACTGCCTGCCTGCCTGCCAGCTGAGCCCAGCCCAACCCCAAACCCCACAAAGCTCTCCTAAAACTTCCCACATCGGCCCTGCCAAGCGCCAACCTGCCAGCAGGGCTCAAGGCGGCTGGTCACGTCTGAAAAAGGCATTTTCCAGAGGAGAGGCAAAGCAGCCTCAAGCTGCTGTCTGCTTCACCCTGCCTCCCACCGGTGTTTCACCCTTTCCCCAATAATTTCTCTTGCCACAAGGAGGAGCACAACAGTGCCAGATGTGGCAGACTACATTTCCCAGCTTGCCACAGGCATTCTGAGTCCTTTCTTCGTGCCCTAGACAGCCCTAAAGCCAAGGTCAGCAGGGGCAGGAGAGGTTCTCTGTATAGTGCAAGTCACACCTGCTGTTCTATAGGCCTGTGACCCACACATGCTACTCTTTCATACAGATGTGGACCCAGAGAGAGGGGGGCATTAGTCCCCACCTCCAGGACTCTTCCACCACGCCACTGTACTGAGATGAAATCTCACCCAACTCTTACATTAAAATCCCCCAGGAGGATAATTTTATCTTCCTTATGCTTCTCTCCCACCCAGAAACCAATGACCCCCCTGGGGAAGGATATGTGGATACAGAATTGGCCTCCACAGTCACTTATGGGCTCATTGTTAAAACTGTGTTTATGGAAGACAATCTTGCTCGGCTACAAGGGATCGCAGAAGAAGAAGAAGTACTTAGACGTGGGTCCACTGGGCACAGAGAGGGTGAGCCAGTGTGCGATCGCACATTGGTACTGCAACTCACACAGGCGCACAGCCTCCCACAAGCCCTTGCCACCCACATGCTGATTCTCTCACTAGGGCACGGAGCTGACCCCCTGCGCCCATATGTTGGCACAACCCTCGTTGTGCAGCCACAACACTTGAGTCATCCTGGCACACGTCTCCCTCCCTCTCACCTTGCCACACTTTCTCCAGTGCACTTCCGGCTGGCACACTAACACAAAAGTGCTTCCTACTTTTTGCACACTCCTGCTAACCCCGTGCATGTCCCCCTGGGCATCCTGTGCCAGGCACCCTCTCCCTGGCACACTCTTCCCCCTGCCTGCCTGCCTGCCCAACTGCAGCTGCCATTCCAGTGCAGAACACTCTGTGTCCACTCTCAGGAGTTCACATGCTCTTCTGACTCTTCCATGCCCACCTTGGCCAAAGTGCCGCCTTCCTCCCCATCGCATGCCACTCACTTTCTTCTGGCGGTGAGTGAGTTGGCCCCATTCCGCCCTCTGCATCTCCAGTGCCCACACATGTCGCTTCCGCCTCTTTGCCCAGAGTTTGGCAGGTGCCCCCGCAGTGTGCCAAGTGGCCGTTTGGAGCCCTCCGGGGAACCTTACCTTTGGAGGAGAGACCAGTGGCAGTTCTGGAGTGGACTGTCAGGACCTGAGCAACCATAGCAGCGCTTGCTCGCTCCCTCGCTTGCTGGAGAGTAAGGGAAGGAGGGAGGGAACAGGGGGGCGGATGGAGCTGGGGGGGGGAGAGAGAGAGAGAGAGAGAGAGAGGGAGGGAGGGGGAGAGAGTGTCTGGAGAGGAAAGAAACCAGAAAGATAATTTTTCTGCTGCGAACTCAGCCCCCTCGGCAGCCTGGGGAACAGAGTGTTAGTTTAAAGTGTTGTCATGGCAACGGGGGTATGTGTGATCTGGGGGGGGAGAGAGAAGCAGGAAAAGTTCAGAGCTGGCTGCTGGATGCCTCTCCCGGCTGCAGCCAAGGAGGGCCAAGCAAGAAGGCAGGCGGGCAGGCAAAGACGGAGGGATGGAGCCCTGGGTGAAGAGAGACCAGGCCTTAGGGGGGGCATTGCCCCCACTGAAATATTTGTCCCTGTCCCTCCTGCCTCTCGCAGGAGATTGCTGCTGGTCTCAGGCTCACCAGGAAGTTACAGAGTCTGGCCTGGAAGGAACTGATGGTTGCTCTTGGAATCGGAAGGGATGGGCACTTTGTGCATGCTCCGTGGAAGAATCTGCTGGATCAGGCCCGTGGCCCACCTAGTCCCGTATAGGCATAGGCATACTGGCTAGGAGCCCTCAGCAGCCCTCTCCTCCTCCTCCTCCTCCTCCTCCATGAATTGATCCAACCTTCTTCTAAAGCCATCCAAGTAGCTGGCCGTCTCTGCCTCCCGTGGGAGGGCGTTCCACAGGTTAACTATCCATAACTTCTGAAGGTTGCCAAGTTGGGTGAGGCGGATCTCCAGCCTCTGGACAATGCTGGGCTTGCCTGAGTGTCAGCAACAAAAAATGAGTCAGAGCATCAGAATCTGACTTATGCCAGGTGCCCTGCAAGTGTTTTAGTTTCTAGCGCAGTGTTTCTCAACCTGTGGGTCCCCAGATGATGTTGGACTACAACTCCCATCATTCCTAGCCAGCATGACCAGTGGTCAGGGATGATGGGATTTGTAGTCCAACAACATCTGGGGACCCACAGGTGGAGAAACCCTCCGTCTAGCGGGACTCAAGGGAGCTGTACTCCAAAACATCTGGTGGGCACCAGGTTTGGGGGCAGCTGACCAAACACAACATGGTCTGTGCTGACTGGCTGTGGCTTCCTGGGGGTGTCAGGAAGAAGGGTTTCATGGGATCATAGAACTGGAAAGTTGGAAGGGGTATCCAGCGGTCATCTAGTCCAACCCCCTGCAGTGCAGGTTTTCCTGCTACTTCCATCCTTTTCACCAGAGAGGATTTAGGCGGTGACCTTCTGCAGAGAAGGAGACACTCAGGACTCAGGCACGTAGATGGTGGCCTGTCACCTTATGGGCAACTCCAGCAGGGACCTTTTGCAGCGTGACTGGAGGTGAGGCTAGGGTTAGCAGACATCCCCAGGTTCCGGGGACAGTCCCCAGATTTGCAAATCTGTCCCCAGACAAATTCCATCCCCGGAATGTCCCCCGATTTGCAAATCTGTCCCCGGGAAACGTGGCAGCGGCAGCCTCAGCAGCCTGGAGCCAGCCTGGTAGTAGTAGTAGTAATAATAATAATAATAATAATAATAATAATAATAATAATAATAGTAATTTTTTATTTATACCCCGCCCTCCCCAGTGAAGGCCGGGCTAAGAGCGGCTTACAAGCAATAATAAAAGTTGAATGATTACAACTTAAAAACAAAATTAAAATACAACATTAAAATATTGAAACATTAAAATATTAAAAAGTAGCCTCATCGTAGGAGGAGAAGGAAAAGAAAAAAGAAAGAGAGGGAGGGAGGGAATCAAATTGGCTCCAAGCCAAAGGCCAGGTGGAACAACTCTGTCTTACAGGCCCTGCGGAATCAGATCCTGCAGGGCCCTGGTCTCGTGAGGCAGAGCGTTCCACCAGGTGGAGCCACTGCTGAGAAGGCCCTGGCTCTGGTTGAGGCTAATCTGACTTCCTTAGGGCCTGGGACCACTAGGGTGTTGCTATTTATGGACCTTGAGGCTCTCTGTGGGGCATACCGGGAGAGGCGGTCCCATAGGTACGAGGGTCCTAGGCCATGAAGGGCTTTAAACGTCAAAAGCAGCACCTTAAATCTGACCCTGTACTCTACCGGGAGCCAGTGCAGTTTGAAAAGCACTGGGTGAATATGCTCCCATGGCAGAGACCCCGTGAGGAGCCTCGCTGCGGCAGTCTGCACCCACTGGAGTTTCTGGGACAGCTTCAAGGGCAGCCCCGCATAGAGTGAATTACAGTAGTCAAGCCTGGAGATGACCGTCACATGGATCACTGTGGCCAGGTCGGGGCGGGAAAGGTAAGGGACCAACTGCTTGATGCGGCGAAGGTGGAAAAATGTCGCCTTGGCTGTTGCTGTAACTTGCACCTCCATGGATAGGGAGGCATCAAGGATTACACCCAAACTCTTAACGGAAGGCAATGGCACTAATTGGGCCCCCGCAAGAGAAGGGAGTTGGTCCTCCATCCCCATGCAATCCCGACCCAGCCATAGGACCTCTGTCTTCGAAGGATTTAGTTTCAATCGGCTCCCACAAAACCATCCAGCCACAGCTTCCAAGCATCTCGTCAGTGTGTTTGGGGCCGAGTCGGTGTGGCCATCCATCAGCAGATAGAGCTGGATGTCATCAGCATACTGGTGACAGCCCAGACCAAAGCTCCGGATAATCTGGGCAAGGGGGCGCATAAAGATGTTAAAAAGCATCGGGGAGAGAATTGCGCCCTGCGGCACTCCACACACCAAGGAGTGGCGCGATGACATTTCCCTCCCTAGTGCCACCCTCTGTCCCCGACCAGAGATAAAAGAGCACAGCCAGTTATGGGCTATGCCCTGTATCCCCACGTCTGCGAGGCGGTGGTCCAGAAGATCATGGTCGACCATGTCAAAGGCCGCTGACAAATCTAAAAGGATCAGCAGTCCTGACCCGTCTCGATCCAGTTGTCTACGGAGATCATCTGTTAGGGCAACCAGAGCCGTCTCGGTCCCAAAACCAGGACGGAAACCGGACTGAAATGGATCTAAAGCCGATGTTTCCTCCAGAAACCTACCAAGCTGTTCAGCAACCGCTCTCTGGCTGGCTTCAGGAGCTGCTCACTGCTGTGGCACCCACCATTTCCCCTCACCCATATGATGTGTCTTGTGCGCTTTACTGGGGACGTCCGGTGGCACAGATCTCCTGTCCCCTTCCCCCTTTGTTTAGACTGATCGGGGGAGGCTTGGGAGTTGCGGGCAGGTGGCCGTTGCCCAGTTTTCAAAAACTCTGTGCATTTATGTTTCACAGGGTGTGAAAGAAGGGCTTTGCACCTTTATACAATATGCAGGTGTGCTTGGGCGCGGGGTCTTTTGCCTCGCCATCCCCACTACTGACTCATTGTTGCTACTCAGCTTAAAAAAATAAATAAAAAGTCCCCGGATTCATTGAAAAAAAATCTGGTAACCATAAGTGAGGCACTCCTGCTCATGCTAAAATATCGCTGTCCAAAGACCAGCCTGCCTTTATGCTTTTGTTGGGATTCCTGCATTGCACAGGAGGGGGTTTGAACTAAATGACCCCTGGGTCCCTCCCACAGCTCTACAATTCTATGGTTCTATGAATGCTAAGCCTTCAAATGCAGTTTCAGGGTGGTCTCAGCCTTCCCACAGCCACCACTGTGAAAGCTAGCAGGTGGCGAAAGGAGGCGAAAGAGGAAAGAAGGGCATTTTGGGGTGCCAGAGAGTCTGTGGAGTTTTCCACTGAAGAGACACACACGCAAAGACCCATTTATCCAAAGGCTGCCTGGCTCAGCTGAGCACCGGGACTTCCCAGGCACTCCCTGGAGCCTATTTCAAGCACGCCGTAACATCAAAACTTTCCGAGAAAAGGAAAGGGAGAGCGGAGACCCTCCGGAAGATGAATCAGAGTCAGGGACGCCATTCCCCCACCCAAAGCCTTCCTGCCCATGAGCAACGGCTGGTTGCAAAGACGGCTCCAGGTCTAGGCAAGGTGGTGGCCTGGGCAAGATCCTGTCACGGTCTGTCCCAGTGCCGGATTTACGTATAAGCTAAGCAAGCTATACCTTAGGACCCCACTCTCTTGGGGGCCCCAGAAAAATTTAAAGGGAAAAAACCCCTGGATGTACATTTCCAAAATATAAGATAAAACAAATAAAATAAAACCCACATACAGCAACAGTGTTTTGTGTTGTGTGGGCTCCTATTTGTTATGTGCAGACAGCTTTAGATCAGGGGTCAGCAAACCTTCAGCAGGGGGTTGGTCCACTGTCCCTCAGACCTTGTGGGGGGGCCGGACTATATTTTTTTTTTGGGGGGGGTGAACAAATGCCTATGCCCCACAATAACCCACAAATAAAAGGGCACATTCTACTCATGTAAAAACACCAGGCAGGCCCCACAAATAACCCAGAGGTGCATTTTAAATAAAAGGACACATTCTACTCATGTAAAAACAGGCTGGTTTCCAGACCATCTGTGGGCCAGATTGAGAAGATGAATGGACCGCATCCAGCCTCCCGGGCCTTAGGTTGCCTACCCATGCTTTAGATCCTTATTAGGTCCATAAATGACCATATATAGCATATATTCAACACACAAAAACAGTGACAATTTTTTGTTGACAAAGGACAGCTGGACATATCAAGGGCCCCATTACCTTCAGGAGCTGAGGGCCCCATCAAACCTAAATATGGCCCTGGTCAGCCCCTTTGCTGCCTGTCGCCACCATCTCTTTTGGCCCCAATCCACTCTCCAGGGAGGGCACAGCAAGCGGTATCTGCAACTCCTTCCGCTGCCCCTTTGCTTAGAGGGGGCAGGCAGACAGACAGGGGAAATGGGTCCTGGGGGCTTGAGCTGTGGTGGGGACCTTGGCAACTGCCTGAGGTTGCCAAACCCTGGCGCTGACCCTGACCAGCCCCTTTCCAAAACCATTCATCATTGCTAAGCCAAAAGCAACTCTGGGATGAAACAACAGTTTTTGCCTTTTGGGCTCATGGACACTTCCATTTGTCTCCGAATTTCCAGGCAGGGGTCAGGGAGGTTCTCCCCTA